TACATGTTAGGATACATGTCCCCGACCGTCCGTGAGTTCCTGAGTTTGTCCGTTTGTCCTTCCGTGTGTCCGTGCGTCAGTCTATCCAACGTCATATTTCAGAATCCTGTGGACCGATTCCGTTCATTCTTTGCATGTGCCTAGTACCTTATGTGGGACATATGCACATGTAGTGGTTTAGCGATTCGATTCAAAATGGCCGACTGGCAGCCATCTTGTTTTTTGAAAATGATGTATTTTGGACATGCTTTGTCAGTTGTCATTCAAACTTGGTACATAGATTATACATGTTAGGATACATGTCCATGGTGATTTATTTCGCAATTGGATCAAAGATGGTCGACTGGCAGGCATCTTGTTTTTGTTTTTTTATGCGGTATCTTGGACGTGCTCTGTCAGTTTTCATTCAAATTTGGCACATACATGTACTTTATACATGTTAGGATGCATGTCCATGACAATTTGTTTCAAAATCTGGTCAAGGATGGCCGATTGACAGCCATCTGACTTTTTGGCCTTACTACTATATTTCCACAATTTATGTACCATTTTCATTCATATTTGGCACATACATCATACATATCAGTGTGTTTCATAATCAGATCAAAGATGGCTGAATAACGGCTGTTTTTATTTTGGCTATATTACTATGACACGAAACAAGTGTTTTGATGTAAATAAACAATCTGTTGCATACGCCACTTGGAACTCAAGTTTCAAGGACACGCTCGCGACAACGAGCACAAAGAGAACTTAACGGGGACTGTGTCATTTTCAATGACTTGTTGTTTTTATAAATACAAGTAATTGAAGTTGCTAATAAACAAGAATGCTAGCTGGAGCACTCCTCTAATTTATACCTTAGTTCACAACAGTGTTGCACAGTGGTGGTATACTAACTTGTGTAATGGGAAATTTTGGAATTATTTTAGGCTAGGATTCAGGATGGCTGCCTCCATGGATCAACTATCTGCGGTTATTAGCTCAAGTTACAACAAACAAAAATACAAACTGTGATAATTATTTTATTTTGATAAATAGTAATATGCATAGTATACAGACTGGTAACTGATACATGGTGACAAATTGCCTAAATGTTAACAAAAATACAGAAAAGAAAGTTCTTTTGGAAATTTAATTCATAACTAACAATACCAAGACATTTTTAATACATACCCTACGCATACATTTTTTTTTATTTTACAGTTTTATATGAAATCTAATTTCTCAAAATTGAATGAACTGATTAGGTTTGGACCATGGTTATTCGTTAAAAATAAATGTTTTTTTTTCATCAGAATTGTTTTTGTTATGTTATAATCTAAAATGTACGCTGCACACAGTATGGAGCCAAAAGCAGTTTCATTGGTTTATTTCACTACTTTGATGTACATTAGAATGGCATGGTCATGTGACCGTAATCGCATCAATGATTAAAATGTTGACATACTCCATAAAACGATCAAAATATTTCTTATTAAAGCATCAGTTGCCATGCATGTTGCATGGGACCCACACAGCACGATTAGCCTCGACTCCATGGCTTAATTTGATGGTATACCTCGTTTACTCAATCATATGCGAAAAAAAAAGGCCATTATTGTTAACTTGATTTTAAAAATATGAATATTTCGACCATAGACACACACCTTGTTTATGGGGGTTTAATGCAATATGTATAAATGTTGGAAATGACCATATTTGTTCTATTAGAAGTGCATCTTCAATATTAGCACATATAAACCAAAAATCGCAGTTTATTACTTATTTTGACCATTGAAACGCTGCTACAATTTAGGTAAGCGAATGTAGTTCTAATATAGCAAGTATGGTTCACAAAAACTGATAAAATGTAGTTTTTTTATGACTGACATTGTTGCTGAATGCATCAAATGTAATTTTACAGATGCAGATCAAATTTCTAGGCTAGCTTTGTAGAAAAATCACGCATGGACCTATAGAAGGCGCTTTGAACTGAAGACATAGAACCCTGGGATAAATGTGAATTATTTCATTTACGGTACTGTCAATCACGAGTCGGGAAGATCTTTCCTTCCTATATTATCTACATGAAAGAAAGATTACAGCTTAATTTAATACAAATCATTAGTTTAGGCTGCAAATCTTGTCTATACCTCTCTGTAGTAGATCCACTGGTGGAAAAATAACATGTATAATTTGATACACATACATTGTATCCAACAAGGGCAGAGAGTTTGCACTTTGGAATTGAAAGACACTTTGGGTATAAATTAGCTGAGAATGTTTGTGCTTTCTGTGGTCTCAGAACCTCAAGGAGCAGTATCAATCTTTAATACAATCACAGTTAACTATTGACCATAAATTTTTTTTTTCATGGCCGCTAAAGGTCACACATCCTGGTACTTTCGTTGGTATGAAATCAAAAATGAATTTATTGATATTTCAGCACAATTTCCTTGACTTAATTATTTTTTAACTACTCGAGTAAAATGTTTCTGTTAGAAACAAATTAAGAAATGATAAAATGACTCAATTGTGCATGTTGTCATACCAATGAAATTACCAGGATGTGTGACCTTTCAGGTTCATGAAAAGTACCAGGATGTGTGACCTTTCAGGGTCATGAAAAGTACAGGATGTGTGACCCTTCGGGGTCATGAAAAGTACAAGCTATTTTTGGTATGTCCTCAACTCTCCATACAGATACAATGTAAGCAACTTCTGAAACAGAACGTGATGATACAAGTAAATCAAGTTAAGACAAGCTTAAAGATATAAAATAATAAATTCCAAAAACGTACATTAAAAATATATTTTTGATATTGATAGATTTACTACAAAAAATAAGACATTTCAGTATAATAGATATGTACTAAAACTTTTTAGTAACGGAAAGCACAGCAATAATTACCTTTCATACGCTACGATTCATGATGGAATATGTTAATTTCGTACCACCTGACCTGGATACTTTAATGACTACATTTATTGAACAGCTTTGTGTAGCTCTCTGGGGTTCAGGCTACTGTAGAATCGTCAATTTTTATGAGCGTTTTTTATTATGATTTTGCAGATAGTGTAATTTCACGGTTTCACATCAGAAACTATAGAAATGAAGCATCTCAAGAAAGAATTTCACCTTTATTACACTGACTGAGTATTTGTAGTTCTCAAAAGCAGCAATCAATGACATCCCATTATTGGCCGACTCTAAATGTTTCTGTGTTTTTAGCAGAAATAGAAAATGCGCAAATAATTCTATGGTTTGTGATTATGCAAGCATGGAGTCAAGGTTTAGCATACATCCTAAAGGCATATAATTTGTCACTTAGAATTCAATAAAATACAAGAAATCACAATAATTTATATAAACTCCAAATAAAATATTTTTTTAATCAAATTCTACCACTTCTCAATGTGATGAAAACTGATCACTTGAGGCGAGTAGATAATTACCAAGACAACAAACATCCCACAATTCAACAGCATTCAGTCTGGTGAAATAACCTAATGTTCTTGCAATAAAAAGTCTAAAAAATAGTTATATTTAAATCACAATTTGTCTTGTTTCATTTGGAGACTGAGTTTTATTTCAAAGCGTCAAAGTGCTCGATAAGAAGCACATAAAATGTAACCATATTTCTGATTTGTCCACATATCAAATATGTTACATGGAATTGTTTTCATTCACTTTGTGTTTCACTTGGTAGATAATTCAGTTAGTCACACACACCACTGTCCCCCTGATGCAGAGGACTGTCAATAACAGGTGGGTATTCACATCATGGCACGAGTTCAGTTGATCAACATTATATAAAGGTGAAGTTGCAAGTCCATATTTATCTACCTTAGTTTATGATTGTGTTCACCAGGGCCAGACACGTAGCATGGTTTGAAAGTAATCATGATTGATTGACATGCAGTTCTTAACTTGCATTTAAATTGAATTGTATGTCATTGTACAGTCTTGATTCATTATTTCAAATACTTCTTAAATTGTTAGTTTTACCAATAGCCATCATTAATTGACCCTAAAGGTCATACACTCTGGTTCTTTCTGGGGCCACAATTTCACTCAAACCTCCTCAACAATTTATGAATTATTATGAATTACTCTAAATCAAAACTGAAGGAAGTGTTTTGCAGAAGACATTTTTGGTGAATTCTTAAAAATTACTGTTACAGTTATTATAGTGCAAATATAACCACAGTATAAAGTACCAGGATGTATGACCTTCAGGGGTCATGAAAAGTACCAGGATGTATGACCCTTAAAGGTCACGGTAGAGGCTATTGTGAATGAAAATATGTTATTTTTGTTTTAATTTAATTTTACTTGCTTATGTATCATTTTACAATAAAATCTCAAACAATATGGTGGGTATACAGGATCACGTGGTAAAAAGTGATCAAAAGAAGAAGTTGAAATTACACAGGTGGAATGGTCTGCGTAATGTCTGTGTGGGCAGGCACAAACTAAAATTATATATTTACAATTTTTTGATTTTTAAAAATACCATACAAATAAAATGTATATTAGACACCACATATGAATACATGTTTTACTAAAGAAGCCGTTCTCTCTTGTCTATCTTTATATGATATCTCCTGTTAATAGCACCAATGGTTTCATTCCTAATAACCGCTTTTCTCACTGAGCTACATGCTCTTGTGCAGGTGCTTTGAAGGAAGAGGCTAGACAGTGCAGTACAATGGAAGCTGGGTATAGGTATAGGAAAGATAGTGATTTTTTACGGTTTCCCCACAGTCCCCAAACAGTGCTACTGTGGTACTAGTAAAAACATGAGAAGTGACTATCGACTAATCCATCTTTGCATAGCTTCTTGCCATTGTTGGTTGTTTGTCACGGCGTCTTCGTCGTCTGTTCTTATGTAGCTTTCATCATCATCCGTCCTTACATACTCATCATCTGTTGTGTGTCTGTAGAAATCCTGGAATGTAAAGAACATAGTGAAACTATTAAAACCTTGCCAAGAGTGTTAGGAAATCAAGTGTGTTTTTGAACTAAATGTAGCAATCTAGCACACTGAAATCAAAAATGCAATATTCCAATCAAAACATCTACTGCTAGAAACAATGAAAAAATACATTACATATGGCATACTTCTTTCTATAATAATAAAACTAATAATCGCAATAGTTATACACCCAGTCATACAACACTTTATTATGTGTTACCACTGTTACAGACACAGACTCCAGCTTTGCTATTATTCCTTTGCCCACCCCCCACACACACACACGCACACGCACACGCACACATCAACTTCAGCTTGACTATTATTCCACCCCCAACTCTGATTCCAGCTTGGCTGCTATTCCATTGCCCTTCCACCCCACACCCAGCTTGACTTATTTTATTGCCTTTCCAATCCACACTGACTCCAGCTTAACTATTATTCCATTGCCCTCCATCCACACTGACTCCAGCTTAACTATTATTCCATTGCCCTCCATCCATACTGACTCCAGCTTGACTATTATTCCATTGCCCTCCATCCACACTGACTCCAGCTTGACTATTATTATACCCCCAACTCTGATTCCAGCTTGGCTGCTATTCCATTGCCCTTCCACCCCACACCCAGCTTGCCTTTTTTTATTGCCTTTCCAATCCACACTGACTCCAGCTTAA